CGTGCGTTTTATAAAAATGTGGGTTGAGTGCGTAGAGTCCGTTCACTTCCAAATAATCCCATAAATAAAAACATAGGCTGGAGCACTGCCGACGTAGGCCTCAATTAATTTGAGTGAAGAGAGCTGAAGGCTTAAGTGATTGTGTAAATCTGGTTCAAATCAAAAGAAAAACATTATTTTAAGGGTCCTTAGTATAGCCTGTTTTACACATAAAAAGAGCACCCGTCAAATGTATGTATATGGTGATTGGTCTGTCAGGGATTTAGGATGGAACATACTTTCTTGATTGCACTCATTTCCAAACTACACCTAAAGTTGGGAGCATATGTAAACCACTATCAGGTGGCTAGAGATAGAAATCCCATGCTCCAGCTCATTTCATTGAAAATAAATGCTGAAAACAAAAATCCCCAAATGCAACACTTTTTGGGCTACAGGCCCATCGGACCTCCATTTGAAGCCAAGGGTGGAGGCGCTACTCTTCAGAAATCCTCTGGTGTCGTTCGTGCATTGACTGAAATTATGGGAAAGTTCTGACCTCTCTGCTAACTTCTTCTGTGATTTACGTAGACTGCTCTGGCAGCACTGGGCCCTTCCTATTTCCTGTTTATGGTGTCATGGAAACAGGCCATGTTCCCTTCCTCTGCTTTTGCACTATAACATGAAAATGTAGCCTGCATCTGGAAACGAGCCACAGTCTCATAATAGAGCCAGCGTGAGATCTGCAGCCCCCGTGACGCTGCAGTGTCTAAAACCAGAATTAGAACCTCCAGCGATTAATTCATAGAAATAGAAAGTTCCAGATTTATGGAGGCATTTATCATCAAGGTCTTCATATAAATCTCCTCTTAAAATGCCCTAATTCAAAGGCACCTCCAATTTCCTTTAGTTGCTAAGCAACCATAGAGCGCCACAGTGATGCTCGGAGTTAAAGGCTGGCAGCCCAGTGGTGTAAAGTCGATTGTGGGGGTGAATCACTGTCTTTTATGGCTCTGAGGTTCCATTACACGGCCTGCAGACAATGACAATGATACACTGTCACTGCAGAGTAATTATACGTCCTGTTGATCCCTCTGGTGTATCCGCAAGCAAATTATGCCAGCTCAATGGCTGTAGTGAGGTTTCTGCTGGTTGACCAGTGCCGCAGGACCAGCAGTTGGTCATTATGATCATTTTTGAGAAATTTAACAAGCTGTTGGGTAGTTGCTAGATCTGTGAAAACAACAAGAATGTTTTTTTGATAGTGTGTTTAATTTACCATCAATGCTTGAAAAGTTCCTTTTAAGGTCGGCATGACACTTGTGATAGCTCTTCTCGGCGCAGCTGCATCTGTGTTCGGTTTATTTTGGTTTGTGATTTAACTGCTGTTAAAAATGTGCTTTGGACCCATTTTGACTCCCACCCTGTAACTCCAAACAATGTCTTTACTTTAAATAAATGAGTGAATTTTAACTGAAATTTCTTATTTGCACTTCTTGCCCAAATGCTGAAGAGTATTTGTGCATACGTAATCCATTTTATAATGTGTGCTCAATTTGCTTTTGATACTTCTGCAAGTCTAGACTCATCAGACTGTTATTGTTGACATTGTGATGATTATTTCACCAGATGTGTGATGTGGTGCCAAGTGTTTGTGTGGGCAAGAACAGTGTAAAGGCTTCGCTGGCAACGGACCACCATGTCTGAGATTTCTGGAGTGATGCACTGGATGGAGTGAAAGGCTCTTATGCATACTAATAAAATCAGCAATCCTATGACTGTGTAGCGTATGAGGCTTATGAGTGTAACACGGAATTGGATCCACATCTTATAACACTTAATGTAAATATTGTGCACGAGTACTCTTGACTTGACTAATAAATATAATGGCCATTTATAGTGACATTTTCTGAATTTATTGCCAAAATATTCACTAAAGTTATAAAAAATACAACTCTATAGACTTTTTAAAATACAGTTTTAACTTCAAATTGTGGCTCTATACTATCCTTGGTACTCTGTTAAGTAAGTATAACTTACTTCTCTTAAGTTGAAGTTACTTTTTCTTTGAGTCATCAATTTTGCATTTTCCTTTTTTAAAGTAAAGCCAGCTCATTAAATTTTACAGTGTAGTCCTCTAGTGCTCGGTGCATTGCGGTATACAGTGTTTCAGCTTACAGCGCTGGTGAAAAACATCTACATGCCCCAGATCTGCCCAGAGTTTAATGTTATTCACCAGGCCACCTCTAAAGCTGGTTTTAAAGGTACAGAAGTATCCAATGGAAGCATTAGCAGATTTTCAATAACGTGTGGTTTGTCTTTATTTTCTAGCTCACTAATCACCTCTCTGTATTTTGCAGCACCCAGCTGACAAATAAAATTAGTGACTGTTAAACAGGGCAGTACTTAGTGCGTAATCTATTAAGAAATGTCCACCAGTTAAGGACCTCTTTTATGCTACAGCCTCACGGTTATGTGGAGGGGGGTACAAAGGTTACAGACACACGTCATTACAAATCACAAATGTTAATCGGTGAAAACAGTAGGATTTTTTTCTCTGGGGACCACAGCTGTGCACGTATGTTTATGGAAATTTTGCAGCAAATCAAATGAGTTGGTAGTAAGACATATACTCTCATTCATCGCATGAATTCTTCATGTTGTTATGCACGTTTTTATGTAAATCCTTTGTCAACGCTCGTATTCAGTTGCTACGCTAATGCAAGATGCTTAATGTGATGCCAGATATGAGGAATAGTAAGAAATAAGGGGCTTCTATGTTTGTGCGTATCTGTTCATTTGCTTCATGCCAAATATAGGCTCGCATTCCTGACGTCTGCATTGTGGCTGTGGGCACAGTAACTTGTTGAATCTGGACAAGACAAAGACCACAGTCTGAGCAGATTGGACAAATTCCCTTCATGTGACCTCACACTCTGTGGGACTGCTCTCTGCAGCAGAACAAACAACTCATCTCTAACAGTTTCACTGCAGGACGACCAGATCTTGATCAACAGGCACTCGTAGAGACATTTTCTGCAATAAAATGCTCGCGATTTCCCACAAAACAACATTTCTGAGTGATTTTTAAGCCTCTAACAGTGCAGCAGTCAGCGCTATCCTCACTGCAGCTTCATGGCTGAGTCTGTGGGGCCTGTGGAGAGGCAGGTACATGACATCGATCTGGTTCAACTTTCTACTAAAAATATTTTGACCAAGGTTTGACAGTATCTGCATTTCCTCTTTGGCACTTCTACTTTGCAGCCCGGCTGCTTCTGCCACACTAGAGTGACACTCGTGGATTGAAGCCAGACATTGTCAGCTCATTATCAACACCCTGTCATGTGTTGTCAGCCTGCGCTTTCCACAGCTCTCCCTTCCTGTGTATGTATGTGTGTCTGTGTGGGGGGTGTTATTGTGTGTGGTGAGGAGACTGTGGGATGACTTAAGAGCTGAAAGATGTCTCCCTGCTCAGGCTCCTTGTCTGAGGATTAAGGCTGCCTGAGAAAAGCTGCACAAGGAAGTAAAGGAAGTGCTTACAAGGAGACATCGGTCTTTTCCAGTTTTTGTTTTTTTCTTCCTATCCCTTGTTTTGTGTTATCGACCTCTCAGAAATCACTTGCTGTTCATTACAGATACAAACAACAGGAACATGCTGCCACTCAGACACAGGTTTTCTGCTTCCTTCTATTTCCGTTCCGCTACAGTTTTTTGTGCCTTTTTTAAACACATTTCCTCTTTCAGATGCTGCCAGATTGCACATGAGAGTGCATGTGTCAAAATGTTGTGTGTGCATCTTCTGTCTGCAAAGCACTTCCTGGTTCCTGACAGTGCAGTGTTAGAAATATCCCCCTCCTGGACCAGCGAACGGTTAAGTCTGGCCCCCCATTCCTTTCCTCTTCTTTTTGTCTCTCTCTCTGTCTGCTGACATATTTTCAGGCTTTCGCGCCACACCTCAAATCTCTGGCTCCTTACTGCACAGAAGTTGCCAGATGTGATGGCAGCTGAAACTGAGTGTGAGAAAGTGCGTGCGTGTGTGTGTGAGAGAGAAACTGTGTGTATGGGTGGTGGTGGGGGGGCTGAAAGACAGACGGAGAGACAAAAAAAAGCTGTGTGTGTGAAAGTTGTGATGAAAATTGAGCGAGTGGTGTTATGGTTGAGATGATGTATATATTTATAGCATAAGTGACACTGTTCATTAGCAGCTAGCGAGAGAAAGAGAGTCAGCAAGGGGAGGGAGGAAATGAACAATGGAGGGGAAATGATCAGTAATCTGCGACGCTAGCTGTCAGCCTCCACTGCAACAGCCAGTCTGGATTCTGGATCTCATTATAGGTAAATTCATTTGGCTTTGGGGCCACGGCCAAAATATGCTCAAGTAATTGAGAGAGACAGAGAGAGTGTGTGTGAGTGTAAATGTGTGTACAAAAAAAGGGAAGCACGGGTCAGTGTTTTATTATAAGTAGGATTTGCATATATCTTGGTTCCGTGATTGTCTGAACTACTTTTAATGCATTGCCAGTGAAGCCTTTCACACTACCTGTTATTAGGGCTTCTAAAAGTGAATCACCAAGATTCCAACTAAAGCTAACATTTAGCAAGCTAGTCTAAAGCATCACCACACACATTTGGACCTGTGAAAAGATTTTTGAAAAAAGGGGCCTTGGTGATCATTGTTGTCCGCGTTTGTGCGTAGATCTGCGTCCCAGCCTCGATGATCGTGAATCCGTAAACAAATGTAAAAAGTCAGAAAATGCAAAAGGGGCACAAGTGGAGGCATTGGTGAGAAGGATGGTGCAGAAAAAAAGGAGTGCAAACATAGTAAACAGAGCCTGAAGGGAGAGAGAGCATGTGAAAGACAGAGAGAGAGAGAGGGCAGGGAGACGGAGCTTGCCATCTGGAAAACAGCATCTTTCCCTTCGCTCCGCTCCTCCCCTCTTCTTCCCTCTCGGCATCTCTCCCACGCTCCAGAGCCCAGCCTTCAGCTCCCCGGATCTTTCCCAAACTCTCCCGAGGTACGGGCGGTTTGTGTGTGTGTGCATGCGCGCGTGTGTTTGCGTGTGCCAAGTTTGTGAGATTCGAAGCCTGCGCGCGCGCGTGCTGTACGAGTACTTGACACGCGATCAGTACTTTCCGTGTGTTTGTCTCCCTCCTCTCCTCTCCGCGCAGCAGCAGCGGCAGCTGAGGTGGGCGTGCGGACCCTCTGACCCTCTCTCGCCCACTCTTCCTCCGTCTCTCCCTCTTCGCGGCAGCGACAGGGGGGCTATGGATGGACTGCGTTTACCTCCACTCATAGAGGAGGCTTTGGACTCCACAGGTCTGTGTGCTGCTGTGTTGTCAGTGTGTGTTCATCTGCGACTCCGCGTAGCTGGATACAGCCGTGTGGCTTTGTTTTGCACTACAGATTATATAGACAGCGATCAGCCGGGGAAAAGGTAGATGGTTAATGTTTATCTCTCTCTCTTTTCTTTTTCTTTTTTCAAAGAAAGAGCATGCTCTCTAAAAGTGAGTGATGTAAAGTGGGCAGGATGTGGAACGGGAGAAGGGTGGTCTGGTGTCGAGGTGTTTACTGTGGGAGCGTGTTTCTAAAGAGCTGCAGTCGAGCTGACAGACTGAGTGAGTGAGTGAGTGAGTGGACAGCACGGTAAGATACGGCATCTGTGGACGTTTGATGGAGGCGACACGCTGCCAGGTAACGATTTGCTGGCAGCCAAAGGCAGGAAATAATTTAGGCCTAGCGTTTAGCACTGTTGAATTTGTTGCATATGTTATCCCGATGGAGAACTGATAGAATTTGGAGTCATGCAGAGCTGGGTGTTATTTTTGTTAAAGATTGAATCTCTCTCATGTTTTACACAGATTATCATCTGCGGAGGAATGAGACGTCGTTTTAGTGCACATAGTGGCTTGGAGCAGATGAGCAGCTTCACTTAGGCTTGCTTGGTAACTTCATTCCACTGAAAGTTGCTGCATGACAGCAAACACAATGCATCTTTATCTTATGTTTTCGCCTCAGATAGAATTAGTACTGTTCAACTATGCAGAGAAAATGTGTGGTATTTCTCTCTTTCTTTCCATGATTCACAATGGGGAAGAAGTATGTGTTTTGCAGATAGAGTGGCCCTGTGTGTGTGTGTGTGGACGCTGGAAGGAGGATGTTTATTGGTGTGGAGGGGCTCAGAGAAACAGACACATACACAGGTCAGCAGTTTGCTCAGAGTCATGTTTCCTTTTCCTCTGTTAATGTCCTAAAAGTGAACTTTCAGGAGCAAGGACTGGGTGGCTCATTTCTTTTAATATGCTCGCCATAGATGCCCGTAGACTTATCGAACCACTTGCATTTGTGAGCAGTTTTGTTTATTACATTTGTTGTGCTAAAGCCTGATCGCCGTAACGCGGATGCTGTCTCAGGAGAAATCCTTCCTTACCTAACAAGCTCGTTCCTGTTATCTAGCCTCTTAACTCCAGGGACTCTTTTATTTTTTTCCTTTCATCACAACCTGAGGCATGTTTTTAAAGCTGGGAATTCAGTGCTCGTGATGGCCAACATTGAGCTTATGGTGGTGTCAGGGCTGACTTCTGGAGCATAAAAAGAACTAGAAAGTGGATTGAGCTGAGTTGATAACTGATATAGTTTTGAATTATGTACCTTTGGGGGATCTAAAGGGATTTAAGTGCATTTATTGTGCCCTGGCTGAGGTCAGCCCTAACTCTCAGCATAAGTCTGGGTTCTTCAAAAAAGCAATTTTATTAAAAATCAGCAGCATTTTTCTGGTTTTTGCACTTTTGCTGAGGATTAATTCTACGCTGCCTTGCTACATCTACCAACAGAGATTGCAGATGCTCCTGTGCAAACACATGCTGCCGCCGAGCAAGATCATCACAGGCACATCTGACATTTACAAGGTGTCTGCAAACGATGCCGCCACTGGCCACCATATTGTTCCTCCCTCCCACTTGCACGAGCTGCCGAACACTTCTCTCTCCATCCTTCTCTCAGCTTTTCCCACTCAGTATCTCGTCCCCCTCTTTCAGATGGAATCCTTTGCTCTCTTCAGCGCCCACACGCCCTCCAACACACACACACACACACACACACACACACAGACACACAAACCTTTTGCACCTGCCAGCGCGTCAGCCCACGCAGCATTTCTCTCCTGTTCTTTCCCTCCATTCCCTCATCTTCTCTCCAGTGCTGTGCCCTCACGCTGCAAAAATTCACATCAGCAGTGATACTCCCCAAAGGTACACAAACAGAATTTCTCTCAGCTCTCCGGAACTAATAAACAGCAAAGTTGCTGCCTTGGACAAACTTTGTAGATGTGGGAGCTGCTTAGACCTTTGAGAAAACCAAAGAACCAAAAAGCCAAGAACAACAAACGAAAACAAATCTCGCATGCTTTTCTGCCCTCAAGCATCCCTGATCCCTGTTTCTCACTGTTACATGTTCCCCCCATCCACTTCTCTGGTCTCTCCCACCAGACTTAAGTGCTTCATTTAAAAAAATAGTGGGGAAAAAGGGCTCTTAAGGCACTCTGCAGGTCCCTGGCTAAACCGAGTGTGCCATGTGTTCTTTATTCTTACTCGGCTGTATAATGGAAAAATTCTTAAAACTTTCAAGTGAATGGAGAAGGTTCACGAACTCCCGCAGCTCCTTCCTTCAGCCCCCCTCCCGCCCCCATGGCTTTAACTTTTTGTTTCCCTCGCAGAAATGCTTGGCATTGTCAGCCTATCATTAGCGCACCCTTCCTCGCGCTCTGGATTTATCTTTTTTGAATTTTGGCAGCTACACAGTGAGCTGTGGTATCCCTTATTTTTTTAAATAAGACCTAAGTGATAAAAAAAA